GAACGTAATCCTTACATATCCAAGATGTAGCGTAGGAACGTAATCCTTACATATCCAAGATGTAGCGTAGGAACGTAATCAACAGATCATTAGTTGCCATGCCAGAAACAAAATGCCGATTACACACTATTGTTTTGTCGGAGTGAAGTCGTGACGGCGAGGTGCATTGAGCCACAGCTTTCTTCTTGTAGCACCTTTGCTTGACTTTCCTAGCGGAATTTGGTAAAAGGAGCAAGCTTCTCTTTTATCTTTTACTCGGCCACGTTGCCTCGAACAGTTATACACACTATAAAAGTCACTGAATCATTGGAAAAAAAAAACGTAAACACTTGACTCGCACAGCGAATGATTCCCCTACTTCCAGTGGATGYGCGAAAACCCCGTGTGCATGCGTTATAACCAAAATGTGCAAAAGGTCTATTACGCTAGAACATCAACAGATCCATTCCACCCATGTTCCTCTAACGTTTTCTAATGGGATCCAGTTATCTCTAAGTTAGCAGTCATGTCTAAATGACATCAGTCTCTTTGTTTGTCCTTACTCTCTGAAATCGCTGTGAAAAGTTGAGAAATTTCATAACAAAACTTYCGGGAAGCAAATGAGCAGGTTTCATCCCGTCGGGGTCTCCATTTGGTCGCTGCAGCCACCATTTGTACTTTACAAAGTTGTCACCAAAGAGACAAACTCCCTGTACCTGATAATGTTACTGTTTCTGTCAAAAAGTTTTTTGCCGTTCAACTTTCACGTAAAGTTGGCTATATTTTCTAACAGCCTCGGCCAGCTGCTCAAACTCGTCCAAAGGTCGGCTTTCAGAAGCAAAGTGACTAGGGATGCAAACAATTAATCTACTTACGATTAATTGTCGAATATTGGTTTATTAGATTAAAATTCCTTTCATTTGATTAATTGAAAACATAAGACAATTAAACTTAAGACAATAGAACAGGACGACAGAGAACGGTAAGCTAACTGTAGCTAATGTTGGCTTATTCTTTCCGAGTTTAACTCGTGTGGAAGAACAAACACATAAAAAGTTACAGTCACTACAAATAAGTAACATGAAGTTAATCTGTGTGACAGAACCTGGCCAGTGAACCAATCAAATGAATTTAACTGATGCCAAATCATGGCGAGCTGCCCAGATAGAACCACAGGGAATGTAAACAAACAGTTCCAATACTCAACTGTATGTTCACCCCTCTGAGGGATATTTTATTATGTTTATAGTTTGTTTTTGAGTAAACCTTTAGGTTAATATATTACCCAGTGTTTAAATGATAGTTCTATGTCTCTCTGTTCAGAGTGGATAAAGTGTTTTATATACTGTAGCTAGTTTTTCCTTTTCTTTTTTCCAACTAGCAACATAAGAGATTCCTGTCTTGTGAGAAATCTACAATTTTCTGTTTACTCAGTCAGTTTTTAATACAGCTGGCACAATAAATTTTATAAAGTATAATACTGTAATATTTTTTATTTAGTGCGTAAAAAAAATTAGCCCTTCATGTCATAGAAAGACCTTTGATTCAAGAGAAACGTCAGGTTTTTAAGAAAATGGCCGCTTATCAATTAATCATTAGTCAATCGATAAGATCAATCAACTTTAGATTAATTCATTAATCGATAACTTGCATCCCTAGAAGTGACAGTTTACCTGCTTGTCCTCGAGAACAAATTGATGCGACAGCAAATTTCTTTCCTTCTGTCGCCACATTTTTGATCTTTTGATTGGTTTTATTCGTGCTTACTGATAATTTGTATTTAGGGGGTTGAGTTTTATAATTTGGACCCCTTCATGATACGTTCACAAGCCAGGTGGTTCCTCTTATTGAGAAAGCTACAAAGCTAAAAAAAAAAAAAAAAGTGTGGGGGGGGGGTCTGAGAACCACAATTCCTGCAGCTTGTACACATAAAGAGCTCGGGATTTCCTCCAGTTGTTATAAGAACTTTCAAAAGGTTTCTGTGATCCGAAAGCACCCATTGTGCAAACAAAACTACAAAATCCATTCTTTACACATCACTGCTTCTGATGCAGGATGTTTAGATTTTCCAAGACACCATACTTGTGYGTAAAAAAAGCACATCTTGACTTTCTTTTAGATTTTTATAAAAAAAAAATGGTATCTCAATCTTAACATCTGGGCGAAACATTTGGGTTCATGACTGAGTTTGACTAAAATCAGATAGGAAACCAGCCTCACATGGAAGGAGACACAACAGTGATGAATTATCACCTCAACTCATTGTTTGGGTTAGAAAACATCTCAAACCGTGTCAAGTCTTGAGTGACTCGCTCACACCTTTCCACTTACAGCTCGGGCTCAGCAGCCAGATGAGGGCGCTGTTGGACCCAGCAGCCACCCAAAGGGACCCTTAGGACCAGCAAACCGGGCTACTTGAGTCTGAACAGGAAGCAATCCAAGAGGCTTATCAGACACATCTGATAGGAATTCAGATTTGCAGATACCATGGGCAGAACACACAAACAGAACCAGACACGACCAACAAACTGAGAAATCAAAGTTTTAAAACTTTGAAGATATGAAGAACTGGTATTTTTTAAATAAGATAAACTCTGTTTATTTGTAAAGTAACCWGTTTTTTATGTGCAGGTACAGAGCTGTGGTACAACAGCAGCTCTGTGACGGTGGACTACGACACCCTGGACCCATCGGTCAGAAGAGATTCATATCAYGACTCATCTTTTGACACAAGTAAAAATGAATTTTCATGTTCTTCAAACTCTGTTCAGTTCTTTGAATTTAGACAGCTCCTGTAGTTCATCCTTTGCTCTAACAGCTTGTAGTTAAAGGGAAGTGTGTATTATTTATCCCGTATCCAATCAAATGGTTGGATTTAGGAATCATGTTTAGGGTCAGAATTATCAGGTTAGGTTTAGGATTCAGTTTTTACAAAGATAAATGTATGAATCAATTCAAAATTTAAATTGTTGGGGTTAAGAATCAAAACTACCAGGTTAGGTTTAGTAATCCAAACTACCAGGTTATATTTAGTAATCCAAACTACCAGGTTAAGTTTAAAAGTCCAAACTACCAGGTTATATTTAGTAATCCAAACTACCAGGTTGTTTAAAAGTCCAAACTACCAGGTTAAGTGTAGTAATCCAAACCACCAGGTTATGTTTAGTCATCCAAACTACCAGGTTAAGTTTAGTAATCCAAACCACCAGGTTAAGTTTAGTAATCCAAACCACCAGGTTATGTTTAGTCATCCAAACTACCAGGTTGTTTAAAAGTCCAAACTACCAGGTTAAGTGTAGTAATCCAAACTGCCAGGTTAAGTTTAGTCATCCAAACTACCAGGTTATGTTTAGTCATCCAAACTACTAGGTTAAGTTTAGTAATCCAAACCTCCAGGTTAAGTTTAGTAATCCAAACCACCAGGTTATGTTTAGTCATCCAAACTACCAGGTTATGTTTAGTCATCCAAACTACCAGGTTAAGTACAGTAATCCAAACTACCAGGTTGTGTTTAGTCATTCAAACTACCAGGTTAGGTTTAGTCATCCAAACTACCAGGTTAAGTACAGTAATCCAAACTACCAGGTTGTGTTTAGTCATCCAAACTACCAGGTTAGGTTTACAAAATCAAAACTACCAGGTTAGGTTTAGTAATCCAAACTACCAGGTTAGATTTACAAAATCAAAACCACCAGGTTAAGTTTTGTAATCCAAACTACCAGGTTAGGTTTAAAAGTCCAAAATACCAAGTTAGGTTTATGAAATCATAACCACCAGGTTAAGTTTAGTAATCCAAACTACTAATTTATGTTTAGTAATCCAAACTACCAGGTTAGGTTTAAAAGTCCAAACTACCAGGTTAGGTTTATGAAATCTAAACCACCAGGTTAAATTTAGTAATCCAAACTACCAGATTATATTTAGTAAACCAAACTACCAGGCTAGGTTTAGTAATCCAAACATCCAGGTTAAGTTTAGTAATCCAAACTACCAGGTTAGGTTTAAAAGTCCACACCACCAGGTTAGGTTTATGAAATCTAAACAACCAGGTTGAATTTAGTAATCCAAACTACCCGGTTATGTTTGGTAATACAAACTACCAGGTTAAATTTAGTAATCCAAACTACCTGGTTATGTCTAGTAATACAAACTACCAGGTTATGTTTAGTAATCCACACTAGCAGGTTAGGTTTAGTAATCCAAACTACCAGGTTATGTTTAGTAATCCAAACTACCAGGTTAGGTTCAGTAATAAAACTACAGTGTTAGGTTTAGTATTTGAATCTTGTTGTTTTTATGAATCAGATTTACTGTTTTTTATTTAACATATTTTTCAGTTACAGTGAACCTACCAGGTAAAAAAGAAAACAGTTGTTCAATCGTTTGGTAACAAGCTAAACATTTTTCCAGATRTTGGTAGAATCCAAAGTGGAGCTTAGATTTAGGTGAGTGCTCACATGGCACTAAAAAAAGATCTTTAATGTACTAATTATTTACATGTGTTTTGCTTTTTAGGAAGTATTCATGGTGKCTGCTGTGGTTTGATTCCTGAGCATCAGTTTTTTAAATAAAACCTCCAGTAGCCAGACCTAACATGAGGATTGTTTTTTCCCCCACAAAGTTTCCATTTACTTAAAAAAAAGCACCCAGTAACAACAGAAAAACACACAGGCGACAGCTGAAACAATTGCTTTAACTTACAGCTGAGGTTTCAGTTCCAGCTGTTTCATGAATCTGCCCCTGCCGGCCATATAATTTAGATTTAAAGGCGTGTGGAGGAAAAGTGGCATGTAAACAAAAACAATACACACACATAACCAACACCACGTGAAGGCAATGAAGGTGCCAGACAGTGAGCAACTCCGCTGTTCCAAGAATGTTGTTGTGAAGCCCAGGTGGTTTTACTTTAACCACTCCCAGCCCTCCCCTCTTCCCCTTCTTCTACCACCTCGTCTTTCTTACTCAGAGCGAAGAGGGGATTTGAAAATACTGTCCTTCTGTCCAGTCATCTTCTGTAAATTGACTTTTTTTTTACCGCAATACCTTTTATTTTTTCATTGCAAATAACACAAATATTGTGATGCTTTTTCAGCTGAAAATATAAGAGGTTGCATTATACTCAAATCTCATCAATAAATACAGTATTTGTGAATCAACCATTATTACATATACTGTATTTCTTAAGCACGAGATAAGCGTTATCTGGGGACCCCGTGTAATAAATAAATTACTCCCCGACATCTGTTTTTAAAGTGGCACATTCACACGGGATAACAAAGCCTGAGATTTTGCTRAAATTTGTGGACATCTTCAGGATATGATATTGAATCCTGGTTTGTWGTTGGCACGTTGAACACGGCACCCATAAGGTTTTCAATGCACTCCAATCCAGCCTCCATTCTTCACCAAAAGCAAATAAAAATGCACCCAGGAAACAAAAATAAATAAATAAATAAAAACGCCGAATTACATGTTGGATTCATCCCATTCCTGTCCAAATCACAGCGATGCCTGTTTGCATTGGATTAGTATCATCACAGGACCTCGGAGTTCAGCAAAACATAGCAGGTAATTTGTGGGAAAATCTTTACTTTACAAATAACTGACATGGTCGATTCACATGGGATTAACAACACAGACAATCTCTGCAATTGTTACAAATATCCAACCCATTCTCACTCCCGAGTCGTCACATACTGACGCTGTTCCAAAGTTCCCTCTGTGTCCCATTTTGACGCGTCGGGTACCCCCATTGTGTCATTTTTTGACGAGATGGGTCGGAATCTGTTGTCATAATTTCTGAAAGTGTAGAAAATGCACAAAAACTACCGTCCCAAAGCCTAAAATTACCTTTATTCACTTTAGACTTCCTGTCCCTGACCCTAGTACCTAAAATTAACCATTAACCCTGATAGCTAAAATTAAGCATTTTTAGAAAATGTAGGAAATTCACGTCAAYTACGTGTTCCAAAGCATAAAATTACCCAATTTTCACTGTAGACGTCCAATCCCTGACCCCAGTTCCTAAACTTAACCATTTATCCTGATCCCTCATGTTAACCTCAGACCCCCAACCCAAAGACCTCTGGTGGCGCAACCCGGAAAAGCCGCGGGCGGCAAAGACTGACGCGAGGGGGCCACCCGACGCGTCAAAATAAGACGCAGAGGGAACTTTGGAAAAGCGTCAATATGTTGACGAGTCGGGAGTGAGAATGTGTTAAAACAGCATGGGGTCCCTAGGTAAAACTAATCTCATCAGAATAGGACTTTAAATGTCTCGTTTCCTCAAATGATTGTGGTGGCCTTTGGTGTGGCCGGAGATTAATCCACGGTGGGCACCACTGGCCACCCCCCTAGCTCCCCCACTGCACCCACAGGAATATCTTGCACTTCCTGTTCCATTCCAGGAGGAACACCGATGTCCCGCTCGTCTTCTCTTGTCCCCCCTGCATCAGGTTCAGGTTGCAGTTTGTCCAGTCCTCCCTCCCTGTGCATGGACCGCCTCCATGTTTACATTCTGCTCTCCAAATTTGGGCAGCTCAAGGTCCTTTACTTTTTTTTTTCTTCCTTGAAAGTGCTTCATGTGTGTTTAAAAAGAGAGAGAGAGCGAGAGAGAGAGTTTCGTGAATGATCCACCCCTACAGTTTCCTTCCTCTCCTTCCCAAGTTGAGATGAAAACGTATGAGTGCTCCTCTGTCCACTCAGCTACCTGTGAGCCTGGACAGGATGCAGGGAGGAGGGACCAACATTAAAAAAAAAAATCCAGTCCTGAAGGCGGGGATTTTTTCTGGGACACAAGAGGGCTGTTAGCACCTTAAGAAAAAAAAAAAAGAATGCATTTTTCTCCTCTTCCTGCCTCGGAGACGACAGAGAGGAGAACAAACCAGGAGCGGAGAGGAGCCCAACTCTTTGAATCCAGTTTCATCCTTTTCAATCATCTTTCTGTTTCCTCCTCTGACTCCCCGGGGGGAGGCTTCGGCCAAGCGTTTGCATCCTGTTTCTAGTCTCGGACAGTGAAAGTTTCCTGCTGGTGAGGTTTTTTTTTTTAATTATCTATTAGAACAGAACTGTGTGTTTTGGACTCTGTGTGCGCCTCTGTGGGAAAAGAGCCGTTGAGCAGCTGTGAGGGTTTACCATGCGTGTCTGGTATTTGAGTTTTATTGCCCTCTCTGGACTCCAGAGGCTGCTGTTCCAGCTGTGGTCTGAGCTCCACTGCGCGTGTTGTTGCTGGTACTGTACGGCCTTTTCTTCACCACGGTTTGCAGCCTGGATCCTGGGAAAGTTGGGACAGGTTTTGACTTTTTGCAGCTGAAGACGTAAAGATGGACAGGGGTTCACCAGTCTGAAGTAAAATAGGAGAAACTCCTGTTCAGAACTTTAAGATGAAGACGTTTTGAGTTTTTATTTTCGTTCTCTACTGGCCTGCAGATCCCATGAYCTTTTGTTGTGAAAACTTGTGCGTGCGTCAACACACAATCAGCTGGATCTGACCTCAGGTAGACGTCCTTCCTGAGACTGACTCACAAAGAGGCCCGTTTTATCKGCACAGTGTGTCTGCAAACCCATGCAGGTGTGGAGTTTAGGTGCAAAAATTTAACTAACTGAGGAGAAAAAAAAGGGACCAAAAAGCAGGAAATGAATCAAAAATTCAACTTAAAAAAAGGGACGTTTGACTGAAATTGTAAAAATCCGCTTCGTGTCTCCTTCCAGGTCCTCCTCACCTCCTTGAACCGGCCCCGACCACCAGCAGTCCGAGCTGCAGCGACCGAGCGCCGTCCGCCAGCAGCGACTCGGGCCTGTCCGTGACCTCGCAGGGCCGCACCGACACCAGACAGAAGAGAGGGGCGTCCCAGGACCAGTGGGTCCAGGGAGGGAAGCTGATATTCGGGGCAGACTCGGAGCCTCGTCCGGGGGTCATGACGGAACTTGTTTTGTCTCGTCGCGGGGACAGAGATGAGTCCGGGCTCGGACGCACCGTCAACGGAGAGGCTTCGTCGAGCGAGAGGGAGACGGACATCCTAGACGACGAGGACGAGGCAGGACCGGGTTCTAACCGCTCCCTGTCCTCGGAAAACACGCTCGGGACCCAGAAACCTGCCCAGTGCGCCACTCGCTCCTGGGTGCGGCAGCAGCAGATGGTGGACACCGTCGATGGCGGTCTGCTTCCGCTGGGCGCTCAGGGGAGGTCGAACAGACCGCCGCCCCTGGCCATCCCTGAAACCCCACCTCGAGGACTCAGCAGCCGGGCGGCGGTGAAGAGAGGCCTGACGTTCGAGGAGACCCCCCGGTCTGCCGACACCACCTCGAGCTGTCAGGAAGATGAGCTGGCATCACTGACCACAGACATCGATGAGTCCATCGAGCAGCTGAACCAGCTGATTCTGGACTTGGATCCCACGTTTGTTCCTGTTCCGACACGCTGCTCCCCGCTGTCCCGCTCTGCCTCCCTGAACACCAACGGCCTCAGCCTCAAAGGACGGACCCATCAGTCAGGTAAACTTTCACTCAACTTCAAACAAGTCTCGTTGAAAACATCTTCTCTCAGACCACCTTCAGAGGCAGTCTGGACTAGGGTGGAGCAATGTTACCAAAACAATGAACCCCAATTATTGAGAAGGGGTTATCTGCGGAATCAAAGTGGGCGTGTCACAAGAGTGGGCGTGTCTAAAGCATAAACACTGTGGGCTACGAGGCCTACATGACGGTATCCTTAGACCCTGCTCGATCTCTTTACAGCCTGACCCTGACCCCAACACTAAGGTTAACCAGGAGAAACGTGACCCAAGTAGGGGTCTCCAGAAAAAGTGGTGCCGTACAGTAACRCCCCTTTTGTTCTTGTCCAATCAGGTGGTGCCGTACGGTGACACCCCTTTTTTTGCTTGTCCATTCCGGTGTGTCTCTTTAAAAAAGTCCATCAAATCAGGTGTGTCGCTTTAGAATGGCCTTTCGTTGGGACACGCCCACTCGTCCGCAGAGACCCCTACTTGCAATTATTTGTTATCCGATAACAATTCACATGAGGATTAACAGGTTACATGTTTTTAAATGTAAATCAGTTACCCTGTGTTTTAAATCTATACTTAGCTTCATAGTAGCATTAGCTCCATGTTGGCGTTATCTGTGTAGCTACACATTAGCATTTGCTCCAACTCTGCATTAGCTCCCTCTTAGCTTTAGCATTCGCTCTGTGTTAATGTTAGCTCTGTGTTAGTATTAGCTCTGGCTTAGTGTCATCTCCATGTTGGTATTAGCTCCATGTTAGCATTAGTGTTAGCTCTTGTTAGGGTCACCTCCATGTTGGCGTTAGCTCCACATTAGCCCAAGCTCTGCCTTAGTGTTAACTTCACAATAACTTACAAGTTACTAATCATAATTGGAAAGTACCAAATACTAATCACTGACAGGTTTAGCGTTAGCTCCATATTAGCTCCAGCTCTGCATTAGCGTTAGCTTCACAATGACTTATATAAGTCACTAATCATAATAGTATTAGCATTAGCTTCATAATGACTTATATAAGTCACTAATCATAAGAGTATTAGCGTTAGCTTCATAATGACTTATATAAGTCACTAATCATAATAGCATTAGTGTTAGCTTCATAATGACTTATATAAGTCACTAATCATAATAGTTATTAGCGTTAGCTTCACAATGACTTATATAAGTCACTAATCATAATAGCATTAGTGTTAGCTTCATAATGACTTATATAAGTCACTAATCATAATAGTTGAAAAGTACCAAATATTAATCTATGACAGGTTTAGCGTTAGCTCCACATTAGCTCCAGTTCTGCATTAGCATTAGCTTCACAATGACACATAAGCCACTAATCATAATAATTGGAAAGTACCAAATATTAATCTATGCGAAGGTAAGCATTAGCTCCACATTAGCTCCAGTTCTGCATTAGCATTAGCTTCACAATGACTTATATAAGTCACTAATCATAATAGTTATTAGCGTTAGCTTCACAATGACTTATATAAGTCACTAATCATAATAGTTAT